GGGCCGGGGGGCGGGGGGGGGGCGCCTGCGGCGCGGTGAGCACCAGCCGGGAGGAGGCGGCGCGGCCGGGTGGTGAGTACCGGGAGGCGCCGCCATGGGGCTCCGTAAGAAGAGCGCCAAGAACCCCCCGGTGCTGAGCCAGGAGTTCATCCTGCAGAACCACGCGGACATCGTATCCTGCGTGGGGATGTTCTTCGTGCTGGGGCTGATGTTCGAGGGGACAGCAGAGGCGTCCATCGTCTTCCTGACGCTCCAGCACAGCGTCGTGGTCCCTGCTGCAGAAGATCAAGCGCCCCTGGGATCCAAGTCCCTTTACCATTATGGGGTCAAAGATTTGGCCACCGTGTTCTTCTACATGCTGGTGACCATCATCCTGCACGCCACCATTCAGGAGTATGTGCTGGATAAAATCAACAAGCGGATGCAGTTCACCAAGGCCAAGCAGACCAAGTTCAACGAATCCGGCCAGTTTGGTTTATTCTACGTCGTGTCTTGTATCTGGGGCACGGTCATTCTCATCTCGGAAAACTGCCTGTCGGACCCCACCCTCCTGTGGAAGGCGCACCCCCACAACATGATGACGTTTCAGATGAAGTTTTTCTACATCTCGCAGCTGGCTTACTGGTTCCACGCGTTTCCGGAACTCTACTTCCAGAAGACCAAAAAGCAAGACATCCCTCGGCACCTGGTCTACATCGGCCTCCACCTCTTCCACATCGCAGGTGCCTACCTTCTGTACCTGAACCATCTGGGACTCCTCCTCCTGGTGCTGCATTATTTCGTGGAATTACTTTCCCACATGTGCGGCCTGTTTTATTTCAGTGATGAGAAGTACCAGAAAGGGCTTTCTTTGTGGACCATTGTGTTTATTTTCGGTAGACTCATGACTTTAATCGTCTCAGTCCTCACGGTTGGGTTTCACCTGGCCGGGTCTCAGCGTCGGAACCCCGATGCCGTCACTGGGAATGTGAGTGTACTGGCCGCCAAAATCGCCGTGCTGTCGTCCAGTTGTTCCATCCAAGCCTACATCACATGGAACTTAATCATCTCGCGGCTCCACAGGTGGATAGAAGATGCTAATTTAAGGGCCTCAAGTGCCAAGAAGAAACGGTCCAAGTCTTCTAAAAAAGGAACAGAAAATGGAGTGCAGACTTCCAATAGAATAGACTCTGCTCCAAGGAGGAAAGAGAAATCTTCATGATGAATTGCAGACAGGTTAAGACCTCCAAAGGAAGCTGCTCTTTACTATGAGATAACGCACTAGAGATTTTCTGTTCTGGAATTAGGTTGTGCTTTTTTGGTTTTTACTACTGTACCGTATAATGTATTTTTTTAAAAAGCCATTCCAGGGAAAGATGATCAAAGTGGAAAAACATTTTGGTTAAGATTGAGCTGCTCGTCCTCAAAAAAGTGTCAAACTGTTTAGAGATCACTGAGATAAATTAAAAATTCCACATATGAGTGATGATACAATTTTTAGATTCTGTTGATCTTGTATACTACTAATGAGGTGATCTGTTATATCAAGGTCATATTTTTAATGTTATTTTTCAGAATAAAATGGAAATACTACCAAGGTGGGAGTCAAGTCAGTATTCTCTAATGGTTTTTTGTTATTTTTTTAGAATTTACAGCCAAGAAAAGATTTGTAAAACTACCAAAATAATTATGTGCTTTATTTTGTAAAAGGTGGTGACTGTTACTGCTACTCCCCTTTAGAAAAAGAAACCCTAATGGACACTGTGTATGGAGATTTACTGCCAAATATATATATATGTAGAATCAAAATAATGTTAATTAACAGAAAAGTATTACTGAAGAAATAAAATCATTCCTGTCCATTTTAAAGATTTGTAAATGAGAAATAATAAAATTAAATACTACTATAAAAAGAAAATCAGACTTACTTTTATGGTTTTTTTTGTTGTTGTTTACCTATTAAAATGATTCTTAAGGTTGGTAACCATAGCATCTTAAAAATGTTGTTTAATCAATAAATCATTTTGAAAAATAATGCCGGGTTTGTGAGTGTAAAAGGAATTTCAACCAATTACATTTGACTATATATATAATCTGAACCTTAAACAATTTGAAAATAAGGTGGATAAATAGTCTCATGAAAGGCTTTTGACAAATAATAATAATTGTTTTTCTTCTGTTTTTAATTGGGAAACATTTATCTGTACAAGATGTTTTTTGGTAATTATATATGTACATATATAATTTTATCTTTACAGAAGCTAAAAGAAACAGAGGACTATAGTGGGTGAGTATTTATATTTTTCTACCCTTAATTCTCATTTTGATTTAATTTCATAATGTGTTTATATATTTTTTAAGGAGACATTACTCTAGATATATGCTAGGATAAGGATATGTATTTTCCCATTGCTCTATATTTTCTTCAACTATATCTTTTTGTTTTTCACAGTCCTCTTTCTGGTTTATTATAAATAATTCAACTGTTTCAACCTTGGAGTCCCCCTAATATTAAGTTTAGCATATATATTTCACAGAACACAAACAGAAGTACCAATCTTAGCAAAATTTCCTGTTCTATTCTCACTGCTTTCAGAGGTAACTATCAAGTATATCTTCTTTTTTGGCTATTATCCTACATTTTTTTTTTTTCAGTTGCCTGATACTATATTGTTGGCAGCACATGCTCTTAAGTCCAGAGTGAAATAACTCACATTTCAACAAACTGTTGGGCAGTTGTAAAATATTTTAAATCTCTCATATGGCAGAGAGTTCTTTCTCATTTTTATCATCTTTAAAGAATTCTAGCCTATCACTTTTTACCCCCCTCCTGGTAACAAATGTCTTATCTGTTATATACTTATTTGCAAATGAGTGCAGATCTGACTTAGCATGGCAAAAGTGCAGAAAGCTTATTGTCATAACTGGAAATGCTTAGAGTTAAATTGGGGTTGGCAGTAAATACGATCAGGGTTCAGACTGATCTCTCTGAGATTTTCTGTACTCTGACCCCTCACATTATATACCCATAACACTGTCTAAATTAGATTCTAATAAGCAAGTCCCTTTTAAGCTCTGACCTCTCTGGCAGTATGAAGTATTTAAAACAGGTAGAATCAAACATGGTGAAATCTGCTCTTAAGGTTATGTTAGGGTTCATTCTTGGCGGTTCATTCTATGCATTTGAGAAATGTAATGACACATATCTGCTCTTAATAAATTGTACAGAATACTTTCACGGCTCTAAAAACATCCTCTGTGCTCTGGCTGTTCAGCCTTTCTTCTCCCATAGATTTTTATCCATTGTACAAATGTATGGCATTGATTTTTTTCCCCTAATGTCCAGGAAGGAGGCAATAGAAAATGCAAGTATAAAGAATCCATTCCCTGGATGCCTGAATTTTTTAAGACTAAATACATAGTATTCATTACACATATATGAGGGATCCTAAGAAAGTTTATGGAAAATGTGTATTATGAAAAAATTATACACAGATTCCAAGTTTTGTTGTTGTTTGCTTTGTTTTGTTTTTAGTAAAGGGTTCATGTACTTACAAGAGAGAGACAGAGAGAGTGAAAGTGAGAAATCTACCCTCCCCACCCAGGGAGGATGGGCATGCCACAATCTCTTCTCCTTTTAGAATTTTGGGCAGCACATGCATGTGCCCAACATGATTTTCAAAGCATTGGGTCCAGGACTCAAGCCACACATTTGGCCATGGGGGATCCAGTGCCTTAACTTCCACATCATCTACTGACCCTGGATTTCTTTTCTTTTTTTTTTTTTTTTACAACAAAATAAACTCATACTTTAATTACATTTTTCAATTAATTTTCTGAAGTCCCTTCATACATAACTATGATTAAAATGTATGGAAATTCTCTTCTATATGTGAGTAAATAACTCTCATTTTATTAAATTCATAACTATGGATTATTTTTATACATAAATTATATAAATGACATTATCTGGAAACTTGATATATATAAATTCTGAAAATAGGTGTTATACCTGAAAGATTTGAAATAATTTATCTATTAAGAATAAATGGTAAGATCAGGAGGTGGCTTTGTGGTTATGTGCTGGACTCCCATGTGGCTGACTGTGGTTTGAGTCCCAGACCTGGTGGCTTAAAACTCATGCTGGTCATATATGCATGCATGCCCAAAATTTCAAGAGCAGAATGGAAGAGAAGGAATTGTGTCATGGTCATCTCCCTAGGAAGTGATTTCTAGCCTTCTATCTCTCTATGGCAAGTGCACATACCCTAAAAACAAAGAAAATAAATAAATAATAAATAATGAAAGAATCAGAAGTAAATTCTTATATTTAACATGAAATTTTAGACTAAGTAAATGAATTAAGCATTTATTTAGGAAAACCAAAGAGCATCAACAATCATTTTAGTAGTTCAGGATGCCTGAAAATAATCTCCTTGTTGTCAGTACACATCTTACATTATCTCATTAACTTCCACAGTGACTATAGACAGTAGGCTTTCCGAATTTGTTGAACTCAGTTAAAATAATCTGGAATTGCTTATGGGGCACTCACACAGACACATTTGGCTGCTAGGGAGGGAGTTTGAAGCCATGTGGGATCAAGCTTCCTACGTGCAGTGCTTAACCACTGTGCAATGGAGTCACTCCTGCTATCTTTTCGAAGTATTGTCCTGCTCACCTTTAAATGTATCACCCTTTCCCAATTTTAAATTGTGTTTTAAATTAGGTTGGTCCAGGAATGGAACTTGTGCCTCCCATGTGGTTCTAGCCTGTCGATCAGCAGCATCATAGTAGCACATGCCAGCTTGCAAGGCCATTGTTGATTTATTGCAGATTATCGTTTTTCTCCTCTGCCCATTTGAGGCTTGAAGTCATGCCCTTTTAATCATTAAGGTAAAATTAGCATGTAGCACAAGTTTAGTACAGTGCAAGCATTTAATAAAAATGTGTTGGCCAGCTGCTTAGCGCAGAAGTTAAACGCTGTGCAGAGAAAGCCTAATCCCACTTGCCCAACTGAAGTTTGAATCCTGGTCCTGGCTCCTACAGTCAACACACCCATTGGAAAAGCACATGTATTCCCAGGATCCTGATGGAGTAGAGAATCAGAGAGGGTTGCAATTTACCACTGAACCAGAATCCAGTCCTTTACATGCCTTCCAGATGTCTTCCTATGCTTTTTGAGCTCAGGAGAATGGTCAAAGCTGAGGGCATAAATTTGGGAATCATCAGTGTAAATGAAATATTTGAATCAGGTATTGAACAAGATCATCTAAGGTAAGGATATGACATTAGAAAAATTTTTTTCTAACAATGTTTCTATGTAGTGGAGCAGAGAAAATGGAAAAAAAGGAACCCATTCCTTTATGTAATAAGTAAAGAAGAATGTAGAGTCCAAAAATTTTGCTGTTATCTTATTTGCTTGTAGATGTTTTTTGTTGTTTTACAATTTGTTTTGCCAGGGGGCATGTGCCCTCCCCTGAGAAAGAAGGGGAAAAGTGAGAGAGCACCCCTGCTCCATGGGGCATGGTCACATAACAATCCTTTCTCCCTCTTTTCTGAATTTTGGGCACACACACACACATTGTGGTATGTTTTTCAAGCCTCTGGGTCTGGGACTCCAACCACACAGGGGCCCAGTAGAATCCAGCTGCCTTAACTACCATGCTACAGGCTGATCTGAGTCATAATTGTTTTTAGAAAGGGAGATTTATGGAATATGTGTGTATTTTCTTAATGAAGAAGAGATGAGTTGACATATATAGAGGGAAGGGATGTCTCCTGCTGGAGAAGAGTCACTTTGTGTAAAGCCACTGAAGAAATGGACATCCAACATGGATTCCAGACTTGAACAGAGTCTCTGAAAATTACATGACATTAATCTTGAGTTTGCATATTGTCCCACAGCCTTTGGAACCTCTACATACAACAGATTTTTGAAGGAGTTTTGAATAAAGGAAAGGTCCTCATGTCTCTTTCTCTCTCCTTACTTTCCAAAAAGCATTCCAGTGAATAATGGAATTCAAAGGCACCAGGTGTTCATTAGATTCTGAGAAAACAGGTCTCTGAGTTTTTCTTTTTAATTGAAGTTTCTATCTTTCCACTCTAATTATCATTACCATAGGGACTAAACAGAATTAATAACAATGTTTTTATAAAAGAAAAAAGAACAAAAACCTGCTGATGTTTTTAATCAATTTAATTATTCATGTCAATAATGCTAATCCACAGTAAAACTTCCACAAGAATTTTAAGATTCATTACCACTAGTTAAAATATTTGATTTACTACATTCTGGAGACAAAGTTTTTAATATTACTGAGTGTTAATATAAAGAAAATATTTGGAATGTGATTTTTCCTATTTAAAAGTATTTTGAAGGTCATACCATCATCACATACATACACAATAGAATATTTAAATAGAACAACACAAAATTTCTGGGTCG